CATACACATACATTCACATACATACATGCATACACACACACATACATTTCGCTGTGGATGTATACATAGAAAATATTATTGTATTTGGGCTATATTGCTGGCATATTTTGATACGCGGTTCTCCCAACGCACCACACGCTACACCTCATCTGCACTTTTCTCCTGCTGTTAACGTACAGCGCCTCGCACAGAACCATATCTGCACCTGGAACTGCCAGCCTGAAGCTGTCCACGTTTTGTGCGAGACTCATGCCTCAAGCACGTAAGATTCAGCGCCTGTTGTGTCATTGAAAGGCGCTAGCAGGACAAAATTAATTTTCCTCCAAGGCCCAGCAGCAATTCATGATTGCCGTGCAAGCAAGTCATCGAGAGCCCGTCCAGTGTAATGCAATCTTCAACCACAAACCCTAACAGTCTAGAGGCGGCGACGGATGCTTTGGTTGGGCAGTGAGTCCAATCTTCGCATCTCTGGCTGCAGTTCAACTGGCTGGAGTCTTGGACTTAGGCTTCGGGTTTAAAGGCAAGCGACCCAGGTAGAATTTCGAGTTCATTTAACAACATCTGAGTAGGCCTTCCTCCGCCGAATTGACCCAAATCGCCCCACCACAGTCGCTTGGATGCTTCTGACGCTGCGTTCAAGAGCACTTGTTCAGAAGTTGGTCAAACATAATGCATGCTGAAGTCGTGTTCAACCTTATTGCAGGCCCATTATAACATGATCCCTGGTCCTCGGGTCCATGTAAAGTATAGACTTTGACCTAAAAGAGTTTCCTGTATGAGTACTAGCAGGTTGAAGGCAATACTACACGGCCTTATGGCCGAAACCGGGCCGAAACCCTAAACTCTCATGCTAGCCTCATGTATAGAATACTTTGAGGAAGCCTTATAAATCCTAAACTCTTAAACGAACCTCTGAAGGAACAGGGGCGACCTTAGCTTGTGAGAGTCATCGCTTCGTGACTCCCATTCCATTGAGCAAAGTTCTCTTACCTTAACACGGTCTAAGGTTCAGTTCAGATTTCACGTGGAGTGCAGTTCAATCCCTCAACCTGGCCCATACATCCTGAACCTTTGGTGATGGAATACTGGATGTCTAGATCCAGGCATCTTGATACATACATGCATGCACATTCACACACATAAGTCACACATACATACATACACACATACATACATACATATATACATATATACATACATACATACATACATACAGACAGACAGACAGACAGACAGACAGACAGACAGACGGACATACATTTACCATACATACCTACATCCCTACCTACCTACTAGTACCTACCTACCTACCTGCCTGCATGCATGCAGTGCATGCACGCACACATGCATAACAGCCTCAGGGTTTTCGAAAGGTCGAAGCCCAAATGCCTCTACACCCTCCAACACCGTAGCAGGGGCGCAACTTCAAGATTGGCTGGCGCTGTCTTTAGACCAGGACACACTGCAAGAAGCTGCTGGTAGGGCCTAGCCTAGGGTTTAGGAGATCGTTCCGAGCGTAATTATGCTCGATCTAGCAGGACGTGCTACTCCGATCGTGCACTCCCATAGCGACAGCATTCGGCCACTGCAAACTACGGCTTGGCTTAGCGTTTCTGAGGTTCTGTGACTAGCTCCACAAAGACCTATTTATTGTCTCGTCGTCAGCTACCCTGCTGGCAGGACATCCCCAATCACGTCCTCCTTTTTCTGCGCCCCTGTGCCACTGCTTCTCGGTTGGCTGGCGGTGCATTGAAATCAGCAGGCTTGTCGTGTGTGCGAAGCTTTGGCGTCGGGACATAACTCTTTGTTATGTTGGTTCAGGAGGCTTGCAAATTGCATCGAATCAGGTGACAGGTCACCATTCCGAATGCTAAACGTGAGTGATTCTTGCCAGGGCCCTTTCGTACGGCAAAAAGAAGTGTCAGCTAGCTACTTGCTGATACTAGATACTGCGTAATCTTTGAGCACCCCTGAAAACAGGTACCGGAATCTCAGGGCACCGTTTTTCGGTTTCAACTCATCCTGTGCTTCTTCCAAACCTTAAACCCGATACCTTGTAAGCCCAAAACCCGTCCCAGAGACAAGATTGGCCGAGCTCGCCATGTGCACTGATACATGGTTTGCTGCTTGCATGCTTGTGGGCTGCGAAGGAGGTTTACTGCAATCCCGTGAACTAGTTCAGTGAAGAAGCTATAATATGCAGAAACTCTACTCTGACCCAACAGTCAGCATCGCGCTAAGGATGTGAATGCCGTCCCGGCTTTGCTGACGCAAGATGAGCGCGATCACATCTTGGGCTGCTTGCCTTTTATGAACGTGAGACTGGTCTGCTTGGACTTTCATGCGAAGCTGTAGCTGTAGCCCATCTGCGACATTGGAGAGCAACTGTGTTTTCTTTTGTTTCGGGGTTGACGGAGTTTACGGCTGAAGGCTTTGGGGTTTGAGCTTTCACGGCGCAAAAGACTTTAAAACCTGCTTTTTGTACCAAATCCATTGAGGCCTCCAGGGCCGTTTCGCCGACTCACAAATCCACGAGTGGATCCGGAAGAACATGGACCGGTCTGCCCGGGCGCCCAAGGCCAGAGGCTCATAGGGCTTCCTTTATCGTGGGGTTCTGGGCTTAGGCTTTGGGGTTTAGGGTCTAGGGTTAGGGTTTGAAGTTCAGGTTTCGATTTTTTTTTTAAATTTTGGTTGGCATATGCAGGACGACGCAGGGTTCGTAAAGTGGGCAGAGCATATGTTATTCCCTCTTAGGTCTTAGGTGTGGCATAATAACCTGCCCACCCGCCCCCACACGAGTGCAGACATGCACTCTATGCTCCCCACACAACCCAGAGAACGACCAAACCCTTGGTGAAGGAAATGCTTCTTATATGCGAAAGCCTGAGGCACCGGCCCTACCCCACCGTACCCATATGTATATATATATATATATGCATGTTTTCTTTTGTTTACACTTATTATCTCTGTATTCTTAAGAAGCTGAATCCGAGAGCTCAAACCAGCTGAGAAGTGTCATGTTTCGCGAAGGACTTTTTCCATGTTCTGCAATATTTCTTCTAAACGCATGAACCCCAAACCTGAATTTGCAGGAGGATGGGACCGACCTGGTCACGGCCTCAGATGTTATTTCCCCTTGCCATGCTTGGGAATACCACCCGGTTACAGGTCTTTGGTAGGCCCGAAAAACCGTGGAGTGGGTTGTGGTAGTTGCTTGCCTTTGGTTAGTAGGGAATGGAAGAATGGTAGTAATGGTACTTATAATAGTTCCCATTCCTCCATTCCCTACTAACCAAAGGTAAGGTTGCGGATAAGCCCTGCATGAGCTGACTTGCGGACAGCCCCATCGTCATTCTTGCATGGTGCCAGGTGTTGCACGTAGATCCTAGGCCCTAGCATAGCTAATTTTTGAGTCAGCACCAGCACCATCATCACCCCACCGAATTATACGCGGTTACGAACTACGGCGATATCAATGACGACGACGAACGGCTACTGTAGCTCTACTGCCCTCCGTCCTCTTGCAGATTTCGTCTGCTTTGCTTTCTGTCCCTCCCAAGGAGAAGAATGTGATGGAGGATGACATCGAGAGCCTCAAGGCAATTTGGCATGACACAGACAGCATTCAACCCGAGACTGTTGCGACCGGGCTTGCTTTAGTCACTTTAGTCTGCAACAGATCATGGAAACGAGCTAACATAGAAGCCTCAAGAGTTAATACCCATTAGGCTCCTAAGTAGTTCCTTTTTATGGTTTATATTTAGAATCCTACAAGGTAATCCCAAAAAGGAACTACAAAGGAGCCTACGGGTAGCCAGTAAGTTTGTTCTGCATGTTTCTCTGCGTATCAAAATATTCCCAAAACCCTTTTGCAAACAGTGCGGCCCTTATATTCGTTCCGTGGCAAAAGTGCGAAGCCTTTGTTCCCGAAATTCTCCGAAGCCCCTGGACCAAGGAATGTACCATAACTATGGAGATATATGATATATAAAACTTGGTTTGAGGTTTGAGAGAAACAACATGAGTAACAGCTATATCAAAGCATTAATATCAATTAGAAGCTCTCATTGCCTAATTGCGATAAGAAGAAGAATCCTAAATCCAAGACATCCAGAGTTTCTGAATGCCTTATCCCTCACGCCACAACTTGTGCAGTTGCTTGAAAGAGCATGAGGTTTGAAGCTTCTGAGTTCAGGACACAATGAGGTCACGGTGAGGTGGTTTGGGGTTTAGGGTTTAGGTAACTATACTATACCATGCTTAGTTACCTATAACCCGAGTTGGAGTTAGGACTTCGGGGTTTGAGGGCTCGGGGGAATGCAAAAGACACCGGGCCAGTGCTAAAAATTGTAAGCCACAGACCGCTCCAAACCACCTTTTACGGAACTTGATCCTGAACCCTATATTGACTTTGTTCTTTATGGATGTTTGTTAGGTTAGGATTTCCTGAAAAGTCCTTGAAACGGCAGTTTTGTTTCAACTGTTCTGGTGATCCTGAATTCAGCCACTTGGGTGCTGAGGGGGCCTTGGAGTATTTGGTCCTGGCTTAGGACTTAGCCAGGACCTTAGGACCTTAATTATTTGCGAACCCTTAGCGTTCTTACCATAGGGCAGAAAAGGCTAACTTTGTAGAAAGGTGGTAAACGTGCAATGATGCTCCTAGAGTCCGAGAGAGCCTATCGACCCGAATGCGTTTACACACCAACTCGAAGGCCACCACTCCGAACTCGCACATTTCCGTTGCTGTGAGGTACAAGCTTTCGCTACTTGTTTCTGGGTCCTTACAGAGTACCCGGGCAGCCCGGACATGCACTTTCAACTCTTATGTTTATCTTGCAAGACTCATCTAACCGCAGTCACCCGCTTAGGCCCTTCAGCCCACAACTCAAAACCTCAAACCGCGAAACCTTCAACCCGAACTCATAAACCCCACTTCAACTTTAGACAGGAGCATGTGGAGGAGGTGCGCCAAGAGTTGGGCGAGATCGAAGCCACGAAGGCCAGGGGGCCTCAGAACGTCAAGGGAACCCTTTAGGGTTCCTTTAAAGGGATCCTTTATGGGTTCCTTAAAGGGTTCTATTAGGGCTCCTTTAAGGGGATTAGGGACTTATGGGGCCTGCGGCTGAAGGGATTCGGGGGTCAGTCCAGGTTTGTGGTTTTGGGGTTCTCTACACCCTGCCATTCCATATCCCTTAACAGGACCCTAAGCCCTAAACCCTAAGCCCTAAGCCCAAAACCCCGAAGACGAAGCCCCCGGAACCCAGGAGCAGCTCAAGGGCTTCGGCCAGGTGCTCAAGTCCACCAGCTCCTTGGCAGGGAATCCGAGTTGATAGCAGTTTACAGCACTCACAACAGTAGCAGCAATCATCATGCGTATACTCATAATAACAAAAAGAGCAAGAACAAGACGGTTCATGATGACGGTCGTGATGGCGACGATGATGATAATGACGATGATGCTTATGATGGTGACAATGATGGTGATGCTGATGTTGTTGAAATTCAGAATATATGCTAAGACTATCTTTGCATGTCTCCGTTCTAGAAAATGGTAAGCGGCCACCAAGGCCAGCAAACAGGCGAAAAACAATGCTGTTCTGTCTTAGTTCAGCTCCCAAGTCCGACAAAAGGCGAGTGAATCCTCTTTTTGTAAATTGGGAGGCCTCCCAAGATCACTTTATAGTATGTGTGTGTGTGTACACACACACACATCTATACATATATAGATATACACACACACACACACTGTACATCGTGTTTATAGTAGTTGTGGTGCCTATGTATATGTATAGTTTGCTCAACATGTACTTCCCAAAACAACGTAACAGCAACGGCAGCTGCAGCAGCAGCAGCAGCAACAGCAGCAGAAGGCACGCCATGCCACCCCCCACCCACACCTGCCCACAAACATGCCCCACTCCAACCACCCCAGCCGCCTACCTTGCAAGGAGAACCCCGCAACTCGAGTCACAGAGGATTCGGGGCTGAGAATGATTCTCAATGGCGTTGGCACCCTGTCTGTTTTGTCCGAGAAGCAGGTGACGAGGAGCTGCTGTCGATCTTCGACGCCTTGGCAGATGAGGAAGGCCGAACATCTCAGACCTCTTGCTGTTGAATGAATCCACGAGTCCTGCCTGTGCTTTTACCTGTGGAGGCGTGGTGGAAATACCTTCCTTGGAGAAGAAGATTCAAGAGTACCTGGGGGGAAAGCTGCCAGACGTCTCCGCTTTGCACATCTCTCTGGAGACTTGGTCCAGTCCCCAATTGAAAAGCAGAGCTTACCCATAGGCCCCTAAGTAGTTCCTTTTTAGGGACTACCTTATAGGATTCTACGTATAATCTCAAAAAGGAACTACTTAGGGGCCTATGGGTAGGGTGACTTCGGGGGTGCAAGCCGGAGCTTTCCGCTTCAATCAGACGGCCGGATTCCTTCGCCCAAGCCCGACATGTTTCAATCGCCCCAGCCCCCAAACGCGAGCACCTGACGGGCTGAACCAGTGACAGTGTAGCCCTGGTTCTCAAGTTTTGCATACGTACATGGTTGCTCAGCTGCACTAGCTTGTCTGTTGCCTAGGTTTGGCTTATATTGTCTCTTGTATGCGGGGCTGCACGGGCTTGCTTTGTTTTCGGTCTCCGGAGTGTGAAATTCTATCCACATGTACTGACTTGACATAATCTCTACTTGGAGGTTCATTGGGCTACGTAAATGCAGAAAAGGGCCTTTAATTGTGATTACAAGTATGGCTACAAGTACTTTATTTATATCCCTATAGTTACTAAGTCCCATGAACCTTTGATAACCTTTGAGTAGCTCACCGTGAAATCCAAGGAAAGCTTCTACAGTGAGGACTCGGCTCACATGAGCCGCGCGGACTTTGCAGCTGCGCTCTCTCGGTGTCGGCAAGACTGCTAATTTATTTCAAATCAGACACGCGACTGTGAATCTCGACATCCTCTAGCTGTTACAAAACCCTAAACCCCTGCGGCTTGATCTGAAGTCATGGAGCAGTCCGCTGTAGATCGCGAGGGCGATTCGAGTCGGACAGCAGGTGACGATCTCAGCGTCAAGAGTTTTCGTGCAAAAAGGTTCAGGGTTTAGGGTTTAGGGGAAGAGACCTGTTGGTACTCTTCAGTTCAATACAGAATTATTGAGAACATCAAAAGCTAGGAGGGTCACGCAGCATGTGCAAAAACATTCAGCTCGTCCATTTTAAGTTCCCTGAAAAGTTCCCAAAGTAATACGTATAGCGACAGTCTAGTAGCCGTTATAGTAGCCCCTACATGAACAGAATGCGCTGCCTAACATGCTCATGTTGCCACGGTGTGGTGTTTCTTGTTACTATTCAAAGGCTGCGGAATCTATTCAAATCCCAAACCCTAACCCCTAAACCTGAAGTCTTGAACCCTAATCCTTAACCTTAACCCCCCCCCCCCTATGACCCTTAAACCTAGACCCTCTAAAAGTCTAAAACCAAAACCCTCAGCCCTGTATTCGAAGAGCTTGGAGCCGGAGATCTACAGCCCAGAGCCCAGAGCCCGGGCCAAAAGAGTGAACGCTGCAGAGGTTGCGGGCTTGGAAGCTTCAAGAAAGACCCCTAAAAATCCATGTACTCAACTAGTATATGCTTTGGCCATAGTGTAGTCCCTTTATAAGTACTTATAGGGCCAATGTAGTATACTATTTGGGCACATGGACCCTTAGGGGAAGTCTGAATCATTGCCAGTACGATGATTCCTTCCGGCTCCTTAGAACGAAGACGTTCCATACGATCACATGCCCCAATCCTAGGTAGTATTAGGTAGACCCCTTAAAGGGGACCCTTCTGAACCCTACTTGTGAGCCTCTTGAACGGGACCTTATTGAGAGGGTCCATATCCCCAGGCGGTCCCCCTAATCCTAACTCCCACCCAAAACCCTTTAGACAAAAATCTTGGCCCCAATATGCAGATCTTCAGCTCCGGGTGCTTGGAACTCTATGAGACCCTTTATAAAAACCTCCGGTTAAAGGAGTAATGGGATGTAGCAGCTAGGCTTTAGGGCTCCTTTCAAGGGTACTATAGGGTTCCATTATAGGGTTCCCTGTAAGGGTTCAGGGACCCAGAGGCTTTATATATGCATCATATATACATGCTACTATTACGGTATGATGGAATTAAGCCCTAAAGCCAGAAATGCGGATGGTCTTTTGGGACTTACTTCCATCCATAATTGTAGTATAGATTTTACTGTGGACCCCTCTGGGTTATAAAACCTACTGCACCTCGGAACACCCGGGTTTATAATCGAAACAGACCTGGGGGCTTTTGCCTCTGTTTTGGTTTAGCATTATGAGCATTGCGTCAAGGGCCTCTAAACTCCCCAAACCCTAAACCCCCAAACCCTAAACCGTGTTTAGCATTAAAGGACCTCTTAAAACAAGACGCCGATTTTCGGAATGAAATGGGCGGATCTGATCTACTGGGAGCTGTTGGTTTGGAGATCTCGGCCTTTGGGATTTGCTGACAGGTTACGGTTTAGGGCTTGCGGGTTTGGGGTTTAGGGCTCAGGGCCCCTTGGGGGTTCAGGGTTTGGGATTTTGGTTTTAAAGCGGTTTAAGGCGTAATTAGGTTTAAAGCTTAGAGTCGCGGACGTCCACCACTCAGGCGTTTTCAGTGCGTTGTCTCGCCCTAAAGGAGATGTGCATGCCTATATAGTGCATACACTGGCCTTAACGTTACCGCATACGGACCCGAGCAAGCTTGCAAAAGGACAGACTGTGTGACAAAGGGATCAGAATGTGTGGTAAGATGATCCCGTTCTAGCTAGCCCCTATTAATTGGATTGTAACTTATAACATAAGCCCCATACCCTATTCTAGTTCTGATCAGACCCCAAAACAGCAGTTGTTCGGATCCTCAGGGTCCCAGCCCAACCATGGGTTTCGCTTCCTGTTTGCTTGGAGCGTCTGGCTCACGTGGTTTCTCAGGCTTTAAGTTGTGTCTATAACTAGGTCTCTGAGGTGCGATGTTTGTTGCATGTGTCCTGGCTTCTGACACGGTGAAATGACCTTCCGGCCTCAGCTTCGCAGTGATGAAAGCAATGGTCCCAGACTTTCCAGCCCAATTGGTACGCTCAGGATGACGACCCCTTCAACCCTAAACCATCTCGTCCCTTTACCCTCAGAAGTAAGTTCAAAGATGGAAAGCATGTGCAAAGAACCGTGACGCCCTCTTGTCCTTTAGGAGTAAGATACTTCGAAACTACAGCACATGGCAGGATGCTTCCTCCGACTTTCAGGTACAGACATAGGAGCGAGTGTTCAGTGCCTCCCAACATGATTGTTCCAGTTCCCAAAGCGCAAAATGCTGAACCTGAAGACCATGAGCTCTACCAAGCCCTAAATGAACCCTGAAAGCTGATCCCTCAACCCTACACCCGGAGCCAAAGCCCTCGAAGTAAATCCATGGGTGCTTCGCCGACCGCAGAGCGCCTTGGTGGGCGCGGCTTCTGGCCTTTTGCCAGCTTTGATGAGCAAGGGTTTAGGGTTCTTTAGGGTGTGGGGGGGCGTGGAGGTGATACAGCGACAGGCTGGGGCCTGCTGGCCTTGCCTAGATTTTATACCTAACTCTTTATTATTCCTCCTAGAACCACACTATCTGCTAGAACCACACTATCTGCTGATGCGGTAGTCCGGAATATGTGCCAAGGCTGCTTTCGGGATTGTCGGTGCGAGATGATCGGCAAGATGCATCCTGAACCCTAAACTCTGAAGCCTGAACCCCTAAATTCAGGAGGGGGGGGGGGGGGTGAACCCCATAGTAATAATTGCCTCGGATACCCGAAGTCCCAAGTGCTGCCCCGCTGATTGTTCGGTTTCCGGTGCTCAAGCTTTGGGTTTACGAGGCGCTGTGGTTGAGGACTTTACGCTTTGATCTTCAAGGTGCTTGAGAAGGCCCAGAGTTTTAGATTTTGCAAGCCATACACACCAAAAGCAAGGTGCCAATGTTTACTGAAGAAGCACTAGCACACTCCGCATATAAATTTTGTATACTTATGCGACCATACACACCCCAAAGCCTTATTGGCCCCGACCTTACCTGTCCTTTTTTCAGTGCCTCGCCTCCCGACTGAGGATTTTCCAAGAGGGCGGAGCATCTCAACCGCAATTATGTGCATGCATGTATGCTTGTACATACCACACACAGATGTATATACATATGTATGTATGTATGTATGCATGCATGCATGCATGCATGCATGTATGTATGTATGTATGTATGTATGTAGATAAGTAATGGCTTCATCTCTTTCTGCGCATGCCTATGTATTTGTCTCAGTATAACCATTACGATCGTCATGTTCATTGCCATTCAGTTGCTAGTCTCGTTGTAGAAATGCAACTGAGATTTCAACAAGGCCTCAACAGGCAACAGGAACACTGTGCTATACTAAAATGTGTTTCGCGGGGCCCGAGGGTAAGAATGGCAGTAGACCTGTGATGGCATGGTCAGGTCGGTTCTTTGGGGCTAAGGGTGTGTTTCGTACGAGTGTTGGGTGTAGGCTTTAGGGTCTGCAGTTTAATTAGGGTTTTGGGTTGGGAGTTTAGGGTTCTGGTGGCATGGATGCTATCATGGTGTATCCATGAGTGGCCTGGCCAGTGGATGCACGAGTAGGACGCATGCCCCCGTGACACGCAAGACTGCTTCACCAAAAGTGTAAACCGAGAAGCGTAAGCCCGACCAGCCTACAAGCCTGATTTCACAGCAATTGATGGGACCTCAATGCCATTTCAAGGAGTGGTTGGGTCTGTCTGCGGCGGTGAGCGACGCTTTAGAGGATGCCTACCAGCTGCTCGTTTTGGATTCAGGCGCACATTGCTTGAATCTCTGATTGTGATACATACCAGAGCGGGTCCTGCAACGGTTTTTTGGGTGTCTTTTTGGGGGTTTGAGGTTACACCTCTTGGCTTTTAGGTGTTTCGAACTACGGAGTTTTGCGGTCCGGCGGTTATTTAAGTAGACAGGGACTATGCTTGGGGCATGCTCTGTTACACGGCTAAAGATCTAGCATGGAGAACGTCGTGCATAGTGCCCTGCATCGAGGCCAGAGCAGGCAAAGTAGCAGGGCAATTCCCGTAGACAAGTGGGTAGTTCTCCAAATGAGGGTCCTTTTTTGGGGGGGCCCTTTTTATGAGGGTCCGTATTGTATTGGGGATCTGAAAGTGGACTCAAATACAGACAACTACCCAAGTGCCTTGGAGCAGGACATCGCCGGTGGCAACAGCCGTTTGGTGAGTGACTGCGCAGGGTTTACCAAACATCTCTACCCATAGACCCCTAAGTAGTTCCTTTCAGTGGTTTTTATTTAGAATCCTATAAGGTAATCCCAAAAGGAACTACATAGGGGCCTCTGGGTAGCGTAGCACGAGTTGCAGGGTCTTGTTCGCAAGTTGGGAAGCAACTGAGAGACTGCGCGAGGGCAAGCGCAACGCACATGTCTGGGTTTAGGGTTTAGGGTTGGTTTCAAAACTGGACACCCAAACGAGTGTTAATAGCAGCCGATTCACAAATACGAGTCCTCCGCGCCTGAAGAACCCAGGTGTTGGGCGCAAGAGGATGCGGGCGGGGCTATTGCTCCCACGAGGCTTGGAGGGTGCGCTTGTTCATTTTAGAATTTAGGGTTTAGGACTTGGGGCGTTTGTTCATATTGAAAGACGTACTGTAATGCCCCGCAACCGGAAACACTCAAAGCCTTTCGACACAGATTCCAAAAGCAGCGGAACAAAGCGTATAAGGATGCATGCTTGAGGACGGCTTCCGGGAGTTCGAAATGGTACAGGGTTTTCGGGTTTTCTTTTTTCCCAAGTTAGGAAAACATCGGAGAATCCCTCAAAGCCCTCAGCACAAAATATGGCATGCGTGCGTTGCTCCCTG